TTTACTTGAGCTCAACTCAAAAACTACCCAACCCCCACCTTTGGACTATGTGACAATGCAAGTGGCTGCAAGGTGCTATGTCCTTCAAGTTTCCAGATCCCAGCTGTTGGAAGTCCACAACAAGGAAATCCAATATGGACACCACTCCTTACACTAAGATCTTGATACTGTGGTAGATGCCTGTGGGAACCACTAAGTGATTAGCAAATGTTTTGAGGATGATGTTTGTGTTGCCAGCCACTTCCAAGCCACTGGAGTGTGCCAAGTCAAGGGAGATGATGTTGCTCTAAGAACTAGAATTTATCACCAATCTGGACCTCTACAAAGAATGCTCTGGGATCATGAGTGGTTTGGGTGTTGATGATACATACACAATATTGAGGTTCCATAGGAAGTCTTGTGGACTTGGTAAAAGCCTTCAGTTGAGAAGTAAAACCAACTACACATCGCAAAAGCTCACAAAGTGTGATTAGGACTGGAGTGCTAGCAATTTGAGCGAGAACCTCTTGTGGGACCTGAGAAAGAGTGGAGGGCAACTAGAAGATCCCACTCTAAAAGGCTGGAGGTTGTCTTGGAGTTGGATCTGAAGTTGTGGCTAAGGATGTGGTAATGTTACAAATATCAAAGCATGAGGGAACTTGCACGCCATAAGAGATAGTGAAGTTCTAGAAACTAATGCTGGATTCTACTCACCATCAATGGGGCTGGAAGGGAAATTTTCTTGCATCCTCTAGTCACAGCAGCCACCTGATAACTATCCTCCATGATGTTGATTGTGCTGACATGCATGGATGTCTTTCTACAGCTCAATAAAGGGGTGTCTTCAAATCACTTTTTCTTTAGTTATTTCTAGTATCTGTCTGTTGGCTATGGAAGAGATGTATTATCTGTCAAAGGCTGTTGTTGAACATGTTGGACAGAAGGTGGCTGAAGCTTTGGGTGAAGCTTCCAACATTCCTCCATGTTGTGTGTTGTAACATCACAATGCAAGTAGTACCAGGAATGAGGATGGTTTCTCAGTCTCTCAGCCTACTGTAAGCAACATGCTCTAAGTTCCTCAAGTAACTTCTCTTGCATTTATTTCTGCTACTGGATGATCTCCTTATATCCTGCGAGCTCCAACAATGCCTTCTTTGTCACCAAGGGAACTTTATCATCACTGTGTAGAGTTGGAGAAGAACAGAACATGGTAGCACATGAGCTCTCATCTGAGGGTGGGAGGAAAGGCTCTTCTGCCCTAGAAATCCCGAGCTCTTGGAGAAGAGTCTCTACTGCAGCAAATGCTTTATGACACGTTTGAAACTCTTGCTTAAGCATCTTGCGTTGGAGATTTCTCTTGAGGCCAGAGGTGAATGTATGGATGCCATAAGATTTATTTGTGATCCTTACGTAGGACACACTCCTTCCAATAAGACTTGAACCACATCACATACTCTGGCACAGATTCGCATGCTCCTTGAAAGTGAACAAGTCCATGAGTAAGTGATTCACTTATCACTATTGATCAAAGTGACCTTGGAAAGATGTTTTGAATGTGGAGTAATTAGCCATGTCCACCTCCAAAAGAGTTTCTGCCCACTTTGCTACTCAGCCTGTGAGCAATCATGAGAAGTCATAGAGCTTGTGATTGATGTCATTCAACACACAATATTGCTAGAAGTGAGTGACATGTATCTTGGTGGAGATGTTGCCATTGCCAAAGAAGTATAGCAAGTTGGTGCCTCACTGTAGAATGTGGATTTGTGTAGGAAGAGCCATAGTTGGTAGACTCTTTGACTCAGTATCTATGGTTAATAATGAATCCTCCTCACCAGAAAAAGTAGTATAATAATCTAGCTTGTGTCCAATTCATATGAGAAGAAAATACCCAAATGGGATAGCCCTAAATAAAAGAGTATCCTAATGAAGATTTTCCTAACCAAAATCATTGTCAGCTCCCACAAATGCCAATTCCTTATAAAGAAAAAATAAATCTAGCAAAACAAAAAGAGGAAAAGACATAAAAGATGTTATGGAAACCACTTGGTAGGATGTGGATACATGATTTCACTCAAAAAAAAATGGAGAAAAAAAAAAAAAACAAAATCAAACTCCAACACTCAAAACAAATTGCTTTAAGAGAAATACATTTTCATTGAAATCTCTTGACTTTGCCCACTAAATTAAGTGTGGATGGACTTATTGGAAAGACTAAACTCAAATAAAAAAACAACAAAAAGTATGAGCTAAAACACTAAAATGCCTAAGAAAAATCGAATCAAACATTAAATTCTAAGCAAAGAGAAAGAGAATAAAAGAAAATGCCCTCCCTAGTACAAGAAACACTCATTTCTGGCATTAGTGGATGGCAATAGTATGGCTGTGATAATCTCCATGTATCAAGCTAAAATATTGCTATCTTAAGTTGTGAAGTGTTGCAAGTGAAAAATTGCTACCTCTCGTGGCCTAGAGTGAATTGACTGCCAGGAAAGGACTCACCAGAAATTTTGTCTCTAGATTTATATGCCCAGAAAATAAATTCCTAAATCAGTCTCAAAATCACAAACTTAAAGCATTAGAAATTGCCATGAAAACAAAAGAGTGCAATGGACAATAAGGCACTCTTTAGTTTGTTGGAAAGAGGACACCAAAATGCACTAACCTAAAGAAAAAAAAAACCAAAATTGATATTTTAATCATGCAAAAAACCAAGTAGAAAGAGGATAATATGGAAAACTAATGCAAGAACATGAAAACCTTTGAGTCATGGAAGTAAAAACCCTTAGCAGTCCTAGCGCTTCTAAAAACATGAAACTAACCACTATACCTTAAGATCTTTCTCAATTTCTCAAGAGAACTTTCCAATCTTTTAAAAAAATTAGTCTAGCTCGTCATGATTGTTGAGGCATTTTTCAACCCCAACCACAACTTCATCCCTCACACACACACTCACAAACTCACAGTTCCAAACTCAAGCCAAGCTCAAGCTCAAGAGAAAACTCAAGCCTCTCATAGGCTTACATACAAGAATGAAAGATTATTTTAAGGTCTCTCAAGCCAGAACCTAAACTGTGACGCGAGGAGAAAGCAGTGAACCACAACAGTATGAAACTTCCCCAATGATGGCAGCTGGATCCAAGGGCTTCTTCCCTATTGTCATCATCCATAGACCATGCTGGTCCATGTATAATTCAAATTTGGTCTTCCAGGTATGCCAGTTCTTCCCATTGAATTGGAGCGGCATCCACTGCCACGTGACATCAACTAAATTGGAAGCCAATGCAGAATCTGCCCAATTGTCCCAAATGCTATCAAGTCTCAAAGGATTGCTCAGATCCCTTTCCCATTCGCTCTACCTCAGACTCATAGCTCTGTATACTATGACGAACTGCTGACCTAGGATCCCACATGGTGCTGATGTGGAGAGCAAGGATTCGCATGTTGTAAAAGACAGGTCCGATCCCCTGGAAGTGGTACAAGCCATAGTCTCCAAGGAGGATGTAGCAAATATTGCTCTTTGGCAAGAAGTGAGCTTGAGATGACAACCGCTGGCACAGTTCCCCGTTTCATGAAGAGGTTTGGTCCATACTGCTTGGACAGGGCATGCAATGAGAGGAAGGGAATTCCTGCGAGATGAAGGAGGGGCAATCCCCAGGGAGATGGAGGCAGCTTAAGGTGCAGCAAATATTTCCTTAAGGCAAGGAGAGTCCCCACAATCGTGAATGTCAAATTTGTGAAGATTTGAGAAGCAACTAGCCCTTGGCATTTTATGCTTGCTTCTTTGAGACTTGCTTGAGAATTCTAGTCAACCACAACTTTGACGAGCGCCACACTTGAATTGACTTGATCTTGATGCAACAATCTTTCAAGTCACTATAGATGGACTCATTGGCTCCCAACGAAAAACGTTGCTGGTTCTTGTTTCTGTTGTTTCAGTGAAAGACGGCCAAACTTGACAAGCAATATAAAAGTTTAATTATATAGCTTTTGGGACTCTTGAAGAAACAACAACCTCAAGTGGTGTTTCCAACCAGAGAACAGTCCCACTTTGTTCCTTGAGCTCGTAACAATCCATGCCTTTGCCAGGAACAAAGCTCCAGTCGAAAGAGTGAATCAAGTTAAACAATAGCAATTGAGCAGTCTTCAATCCCAGTGACATCCCCGGACACATTCTTCGGCCCGCACCAAATGGAAGCAGCTCAAAGTCCTGGCCTTTTACGTCAATCGAGTTCCCAAGGAACCTTTCCGGCTTGAATTTCAATGCATCCTCCCATACTGCCGGATCTCTTCCAATTGCATAACCATTGACAAATGTGGAAGTTCCTTTGAGAATGTCATAGCCAGCAACCTTGCACGCTCATGTGAATCAGCAGCGGAGCTGGAGGATGAATGCGAAACGCTTCCTTGACGATTGCCTGAAGGTACTCCAGTTTGTCAAAGTCGCTCTCCGCAACAAGGCATTCCTTTCCAACAACGGTGTCAATCTCTTCCTGGGCCTTTTGAAGAATAAGTGGATTGTGCATGAGTTCCAACAGCGTCCATTCAATCAAACTAGCGCTGGTATCTCCTCCAGATAAAAGCTCCTGCATAATTCGAGATTAGCCAACATTTCTATAAGATAAGCGTTGACTTTGTTACCGTGACAATAGCTTTGACCGATAACGTTGACTTTGTTCCTCTCCCCGGGCTCCTTCGCTTTTCAAGCTTTGCAGCATGGTATCCATGAAATCTTTGGGCTGCGAGGTATTGGACTCGAGCCTAGCCTTGTGGGCATCTAAAATTCTCTGCAAGAACTTGTCTTGTCTCGCATGTATCCTCTTCATCTCTGGGATCTTCCAGTCAATCCGTCTCATGAACGCCGGTACGAACTCACTGATGTGGAATTGAAGCATCTGCTCGGTGATTTCAAACACAATGTGCTTGAAATCCTCGGCCTCACTGCTCATCTCAGCCTCATGCTCACCATACTCGAAGAAACGCTTGCTCATCAGGATCTGCATGACAACATTGAAGACATGTTGTCAGGAGGTGCTCATGTTGATTGGCTTCTGAAAGTCAGCCGCATTCACAAGCTCAGACAAGACGCCACGCATTTCTCTCGTTCGCACCCCTTGAAACGATTCAATGCGCTTGACAGTAAAGAGCTCTGTAGCGCAAAGCTTCCTCATTCTTTTCCAGTAGTCGCCATACGGAACAAAACCAATGTCTCGGAAGTTGTAGAAGTTGTACTCCCCCATGATCAAGTATGGCCTCGAGGCAAAATTTGCATCCTGGATCTTTAGTACCTCTTTCACTAGCTCCGGACTGGAGATCACCACAGCTGGTACCATTCCCAGGCGTAAAAACACAATCGGTCCATACTTTGTGGAGAGTGCCTGGAATGAAAGGTGTAGCATTCTTCCCAAGAGATGCAAGTGACCGATAAGAGGTAGCCCCATGGAGATGGAGGCAAATTAAGCCGCCATGAAGAGAAGAGTGATCAACAAAACAACTGCGTATTGAGCAAACTCCATTACTGATTCAAAGTATCAAACGTGACAGCCTGAAAGAAGGATGGATCGATGATCTATCGATATAAACATTGGTTGCATCTAACAGTCCATGTGAGTGGCTTTGACTTGATATTTCAACACGTATGTTCTTATTTTCTTGCTAAACTATTGCTTAAAACTTAGTGGTCCAAGTTTGACGATTTTATGCAATTATTGATCAAGATATTTTATGGAGCCGGCAATGTAGAAAAGCAACTTATATCGGTCTCATGCTTGTAAACAATATATGAATGAAGGAATATGTTGAAATGTTCAAGTGTAGTCAGTTTCTTGGAAGACTTGGATTCTAAGGTTCTAGTCTCCTAAGAAATAAGACTGAGCATAGAATAACGCTGCCATACCCAAGCACCCCACTTCCAGCGTGAGGAATGGCTCGGCTGGGTGAACTACATACATGACAAAGTGTTCGGTGATCATCCGAATTGCGTCAAAAAATTTAACACTCAAGCATTCTCAGTTTGCAAGAATTAGAATGACAAATAGCCATGCATATGAAACATTGATTTTCACTTCGTCCGTAGCTAGTTTACAAAAGGCCACACTACTAAGAGAAAAATAGATGGAAGTACATCGATTTTCATATCAGGTTTAATAAATTTTGGATCTGGTTGAGTTTGTTTGAACTTGCCACCACATTGCAACTTTTCGGGTCCGACACGATGATGGTGCGCTTTGGATCCAGAATCCAAGTCCCACGAAACGTGCCTCCACTCAGTAGGTTATCCACGCCATGGTAGTGGCTGCTCGCATACACCAGATTCGCTGGGATTGCGCAGGAGAGAACATCCAGGAACTTCAGGAAATCTTTCTTCCCATTCCGGGACGCATTCGCGGCAAGGATATCGCGGTAAAAGATGAATTCGTCTTCCTTGTCCTGGATCATCCTCCACGTAGTGTTCACGGCGTCCTGAAACGTCTGCACGCTCTGATCGGTGAGCAGCACCGCCGGAAGATTGTTAAACTTATTCTTGTAAAACTCCTTGAGAAACGAGAAGACGTCGTTCACCATCCACATATGATCGAGCATAGCGTTCTGAGCACTGATGTAATCCAGGGATTCAACATCCTCATCGTCAAATAAAGCACCCATTGAAGACGTTCTTCCTCCGGTCTAGAGCTTGTAGTCCTGCGTCAAGTCGTCACTCAAGATGCTTCTTGCCCAGCCCTGAACAGTGGAAACCGTGAGCTTGAACAGCTCCGGCTTCAACAGAGACCTCAAATCCTTCATCAGATCGTGGCACGCTCGATAGGCAAGAATATCCGGAACTTCCGCGAGCGATGCGGTTCCATAGCAGAGGCTATGAACAGTGTCGATATACGATGACGCGAGAGCTCCAGCAACCTCGTTGTCATCAAATGGATCGTCCAGGAAAGCAGTGAGCCAGGGAAACTTCGCCTGCTTCGCTTCGAATAACTATTGACGGTTCAAGCCTTGAGACTGGTTGTTGCTCAGCGGTTTATAAAATGATATCAATGTGGCGTAATTCCTAATCAATCGACATGGAGTTTCTAGCGTGCGCGATTGCTCTTGTGTTCTTCATCTATGTTCTTGTATGGGGAATTCCAGGTGGAGGGCACCGCCGTCTCAACTTGCCAGTATCACCCAGTGGGTCTCTTCCATTGATCGGACACCTCCACCTCTTTGGGAGGAAACCCCATCTCTCTCTCCTTGCACTGTCCAACAAGTATGGACCGATCTTCTCTCTCCGGCTGGGAATGGTGCCATCCGTGGTGGTCGCGAGCGCCCATCTGGCCAAGGAGCTCTTCAAAACCCAGGACGTTACATTCTCTTCCAGGCCGTATTTCATGCCAGGGGAGTATAGCTTCTACAACTTCCTTGACATGGGATTTGCGCCTTACGGCGATTACTGGAAGAACATGCGGAAGCTGTGTGCCACGGAGCTCTTCACAATCAGGCGCATCGATTCTTTCTTGTGGGTACGAACAGAGGAGCTCCGTGAGATGCTATCCGCGCTCTTGGATTCTTCTCTGGATTGCAAGCCCGTCAACATGAGAGACATGGTCACGACATGCCTGTTCAATGTGGTCACCCGGATCTTGATGAGCAAGAGGTTCTACACGTTTGTGGGAGATGAGGCAACGATGGATGACGATGCCCGGGAGTTTAAGAGCCTCCTGCTGTCCATCACAGACCAGGCGCTCGATTTTCACATCAGCGAGTTTGTCCCGCCGTGGCTTAGAGGCATCGACTGGAAGATCCCGCGGCTCAAGAAGCTGCAGGCAAAGATTGATAGTTTCTTGCAGAAGATAGTCGACGAGCACAAGCTTGGTGTCGATAGCGGCAAGGAGGACTTTATGCACATCATGCTCGAGTACCTCAAGGATGAACCATATTGCGAGGACAGTGTCAAGGCCAATAGCATGGTAAGTTCTTCCTCTCGTGATTTGATGTCTCTTAACTATATCCTCGAATGTGCCAGGAGCTTATATCTGGTGGAACAGACACAAGTGCCGCCGTGATCGAGTGGGCGATCCTGGAGCTTCTTCACCACCCGGAGATGCTACGAAAAGCTCAAGAGGAGATGGACGTGGTGGTGGGGAATTCTCGCCTGGTCGGAGAAGCCGACATTGCGCAGCTCCAGTATATGCAAGCAGTGATCAAGGAAACCTTCCGCCTCCATCCTCCAATTCCTCTTCTACCTCGCATGGCATCTCACGACTGCAAGCTGGGAGGATTTGATGTTCCAAAGGGCGCAACCACGTTCTTGCACGTCTACGCCATTGGAAGGGATCCAGCCGTGTGGGACGAACCATTGAAGTTCATGCCGGAGAGGTTCTTGGGGAATTCCTTGGATGTCAAGGGCCAGGACTATGAGCTGCTTCCATTTGGCTCTGGTCGCAGGGGTTGTCCGGGGATGATACTGGGATTACGAACGGTGCAGCTTCTGGTATCCAACTTGATTCACAGCTTCGATTGGAGCTTTGCGGGGGAGAGGGGAGGAGAAGCATTTCCTCTGGAAGAACGAGATACTGCTGGGACTGTTATTTGGACCAAGACTCCGCTCCAAGTCGTGGCCACTCCAAGACTTAGGAAGGAGGTACTGCTAGGCTGATTGCGATTTCATGAAATGGGCTTGCAAATATGTCCTCGTTATTTAAAAATTTCTTTTCATAAACTGTTTATACACGGTGTCGTGTGCATGAAACCAAAAGGTATAATAAGCATGCTGTACTGATGAGTGAGGCTGCAACAGAACTCCTCCCAATCGTCTCTACTGTCGTTGTGGTCACCCTGCTTCATTGCGAAGTAAACTGACCATTGAATGTACAAGGTAAGAGTGGGAAGTTTTTTTGTACAGCTTTTCTCTGAGAAAATGTTTCAAACTGAAAGAGCCAATGCAATGTCAAGTCAAAAAAAGTTTTAAATGAAAGGTCAAAAATAAACTTTGAAATTAAAAACAAATGTAACTCTAAAGGATCAGCTAAAATTCCACAGTTCTCAGCTATGGCATGAGGGGTTGTTAGGTGCCAGCTTTGACTCTGTCAACATGAGTCAAAAGGAAAGGTTAACCTACCCTAGGGCTCATAGTGGAGCAGTAGCACAGTGGGTCAAGGGTGGCTGAGTGGAAGGAATTTCAAAAGGAGGTGTAGCATAGTTTATAGTGTTGGAATTTAACATTTGTATTAGTTGTTGGTTGACTAAAATGAATATTAGAATTCTATTGTTGATGGTGGTGCTGATGATGCTGTCAATAAAACTATGAAAGTTTAGACCATTCAAGATATTGTTTATGAGATATGAACCTTTAATCAAATTTGGCAAGAGATGTAAGATGAAATGTATGGCATGATAGATACTATGTGTAAGTGTGTTAGGGCATTCGAGGCTAAATATGGTGGTCCTCCAACTAAAACTTCTTTGGTGGACTTAAGATTCCAACTTTTTTTGGTGATGGTGATATGGATGAATGTCTGGCTTAGCTAACAAGTTCTTAGTTACCAAAGGAACTTCAAATGCAGAGGCTTTAGTGGCTATTCTAATGGTTTTGCATGATATAGGTCTTTTATGGTGGAATTAGCTTATATTTTGAATAAAAAACCATTAATGTCTACCATAAATGAGTTTAAAGCTGCTTTTTGTTTATGTTTTGCCCCTCACTATGATGTGGAGAATTGTCGCGAATGTGACTTCGGGTATCAAAAGATACTTGTCGACCGGTCCTTACAGACACTCTTTCCTTACTGCCATGATGGCAGGAGATCGGTATAGTTGGATCCCTTTAGTAGCCCCTCTTGTGCTAGTGGAGTTAACTGGGCATTTCGAGTGTACTTAAACCGGACGGAATTCCTACGTGCTATTAGTTAAGCATACTTAGCCTAGTAAGGAGTTCCCGTCTCGTTATGTCTTGCACTTGCTAGTGACAAGAACCCTCGCGTATTGAGATTAGTCCCTCAATATCACTAGATGATAGCTTACCATATCTGCCAAACACCCTTGCTATCATGCCCTTTGTGTTAGTCTCATTTCGGTCCCAAATGCTATTTATAGAAAGTGTCTAGATTCGCTCATTTAGCATGTATACGGAATGTAAAGGTCGGCCTGAACACAATGGTGTTCGTCTCGTGTCCAAATTCGCAATCTAGTGCCATTCCATATTTAGTAAGTTTTGAGCTTGTCCCAAAGACTAACTCCTGGTACTAAGGGAAGCTTGGGGTGAAAGCCCAAAGTGTGTGTTCCTCAAGGGCGGGGGGGGCCTGTGGGGGGTTCCAAATGTATAGTAGGGATAGTGGTTGGAATGCATGTTCGACCACCTGAGACATTAGTTTGGCTCCCGCTGGGATGTGTCGCTCCTTGTTCTGCGTCCGGCTTGGGTCTAAGCCCAAGCTCCATGCCGCTCTAGTTGGTGGAGTACCCTCCTCCTCGCGTTAGGCCATCGGTATGCCAAAATTGTGCCAGACTCCGTCTGACACCATTTTGCGTGCAAGTGCTGGATACGGGGAGCTAGTGCTCGTGGGATTGTACCGGACCCTCGTTTCGTAGCGCAACGGGCTTGGAGTTTGGCTCCTAATTCAGGTGTGCTACATTTGGTATCAGAGGAATTGTCTCAGCGATTCCTATCTAACTTTTGTCGGATTTTCTGACTCAAGTTGCATACGCAGAAACTTTTCTAGTAAATCTGAAGCGACCTGTGTAGGATTAGTTGGATTGCACCATTCGGTAAGAATGTTGTATGCATGTTCAGTTACTGATAGAGGCATGCATACAGCTAGCAGGATGGTGAAGAGGAACCATGCTGATGACGCTGAAACCTCTAGACGGGCAAATCGAGAGGAGGAAACTCCTACTAGAGATGCTACGGAAGAGGTAGAGGCTGAGTCAGAAGAGGAAGAGCCAGATGCTGCGGCACTACAGCGTACAGCTCAGGAAGTCGAGATTGAGAATTTGCGAAGGGAGATTCGCAAATTGAAGAAGGAGAACAACAAGAGGAAGAAAGAAGCTGAGGCAGCTAAACCAGTTAAGCCTAAGCAACCGGACTCCTCCTCAAGTTCCGAGGACGATGAAGTTCTGCAGCAGCCCCCAGTTGCACGAATTTCAAAGTTCAAGCCCCCGAAACCACCCAACTTCAGAGGCATGCGGGACTATCAGGTTTTGGAAGACTGGGTCTACGATATGGAAAATTATTTCATAGCAGCAAACGTAGATGATCGTACAAAAGTTGTGTGTGCACAATCCTTTCTCACCGATCATGCCAAAACTTGGTGGCGCCAGGTGTGTGCTGAAAAAGGGCAGACTAGAAGTTGGGTCTCTATCCATAAGGAATACTTGCCGGATGATCTTGGTCTAAGACTTTGCGCGGAGCTGCAGCGGTTAAAGCAGCGAGGGGATCTCATGCATTACGTTAATGTGTTTGCTCAGAAGCGTATTATGATTGCAAATATGAGTGATGAAGGTGCTCGGAGTTATTTCCTGGAGGGTTTAAGTTCACTTTCTCGTAATGAGATTTTGAAGTTTAAGCCAAAGACGTATCTGGAGTGTAAGGAGGCAGCACAGCAAGTTGCCTTTAGTCACTCGCTCATGGAACAATATCAGCAATCGTATGCTGGTAACTCGGATAAGAATAAGAATTCTAGGAATAAACAAGGTGATCGGAAACAGAGGGTGGAAGGCAGGTTCCGCTCTGGAGGCTCACAAGCAACGGTTAACAAAGGTGGTGGTGGTTGGAGACCACCAGCAGCTTCTTCTGGTCCTAGGCCCTCTGTTCCTCCTCCTGGTGGGTACAAGCCGTAGCAACCTGCAAAACCTGCTCTTAGTGAAATGGGTAGTGTGGGTCATTGCTTCCATTGTGGAGAGTCGGGATATAGATCCTCGGAATGTCCCAACAAGCATAAGACAAGGTCTCAAGTTAATGTCAGCTTCACATTGCTGATCTATCGAAACCTTACGAGGTGACATGTGATGCGAGTGGTTATGCATTGGGAGGAGTTCTCATACAAGAGGGACAGCCTATTGCATATGAGAGTTGAACTTTAAATTCCGTGGAGCAACACTATTCCACATATAAGCAAGAGTTACTCTCTATTGTTCATGCTTTGCGGACATGGCGGCACTATCTTTATGGTACAGTGTTCGTGGTGTTGACAGATCACAAACCACTTGTGTATCTTTTCACACAGAAGGAGTTGAACACTCGGCAAGCTCGTCGAATGGTCAAACTTATGGAGTTTGGGGAGTTTCCTATTGAGCATCGTCCAGGAAAATCCAATATGGTGGCAGATGCTTTATCTCGTGTTCGTCATGTGACAACGTTACAAACACGATTTTGTCATCATTTGAGTAAGGTGGTCAGCGAGTTTGGGCAGTTGGTTGAGCATGCTCAGGCTCAGGATGCTGAGGTGGCCTCTTTGCGAGCCCAGATGGAAGTCCCTTTTTCATTGGTGGATGGGATTCTCTACTACAATAGCCGTGTATATTTGCCACGGGTGGATGTGTTAATTACTCAAGTTTTATTCCACTATCATGATCGTCCAGAGGCCGGTCATTTTGGGGGGAAGAAGACGTATAAGTTGATTAAGCCCAACTTTTATTGGAGGAATATGAAGGCTGATATCCTCAAGTATTGTAAATCATGCGAGCTTTGTCAGCGGGTTAAGGTGCCACGGGAGAAGCCAGGAGGACTTTTGCAACCTTTACCTATTCCTCAGAGCCATTGGTGTAGTATCTCTATGGACTTCATCACTTATTTGCCACGAACACAGAGGCAAAAGGAGCAAGTATGGGTCGTAGTGGATCAGTTGACGAAATATGTGCGGTTGTTGGCTCTTCAAAAGAATGTCACTGCCTCAGACTTGGCTGCGGTTTACTTGGAGAAGGTTTTTCCTGATTTTGGTTTGCCGGAGGACATCATTAGTGACAGGTTTGCCGGAGGACATCATGTTTTGCGGACGTGGCAGCATTATCTTTATGGTGCAGTGTTCGTGGTGTTGACAGATTACAAACCACTTGTGTATCTTTTCACACAAAAGGAGTTGAACACTCCGCAAGCTCATTGGATGGTCAAACTCATGGAGTTTGGGGAGTTTCCTATTGAGCATCGTCCGGGAAAATCCAATGTGGTGGCAGATGCTTTATCTCGTGTTCGTCATATGACGACGTTACAAACACGATTTTGTCATCATTTGAGTAAGGTGGTCAGCGAGTTTGGGCAGTTGGTTAAGCATGCTCAGGCTCAAGATGCTGAGGTGGCCTCTTTACGAGACCAGATGGAAGCTCTTTTCTCATTGGTGGATGGGATTCTCTACTACAATGGCCATGTATATTTGCCACGGGTGGATGCATTAATTACTCAAGTTTTATTCCACTATCATGATCGTCCAAAGGCCGGTCATTTTGGGGGGAAGAAGACGTATGAGTTGATTAAGCGCAACTTTTATTGGAGGAATATGAAGGCTGATATCCTCAAGTATTGTAAATCATGCGAGCTTTGTCAGCGGGTTAAGGTGCCACGGGAGAAGCCAGGAGGACTTTTGCAACCTTTACCTATTCCTCAGAGCCATTGGTGTAGTATCTCTATGGACTTCATCACTTATTTGCCACGAACACAGAGGCAAAAGGAGCAAGTATGGGTCGTAGTGGATCAGTTGACGAAATATGTGCGGTTGTTGGCTCTTCAAAAGAATGTC